CGAGAAGACGCACCCTCCCTTTCTCCTACACAGATGGGAACATCGCAACTCCGCTTTCGCCACGGTCCCCACCCATGTCTCAAGGTGGCGTAAGGGCCACTTTCAGGAAGGTTAAGCTTTCTTCGAAGGACCTTCCTATCTCTTCCTTAGAGACCATGGTGTCTTTCACCAAGAGAGGATGCTCAAGCAGTCTCGAGGGGTAATCTGCTATGTTAGAAATTGAAGGCACCCGAGCGAACCATGGCAGCACAAAATGTGCATCAAGTGTCGTCGCAGCCAGGGCGCACACCGCTGTTATCGCTCTGGAGGTGGAGTAACCCTTGATCAGGGAAAATTTCGAACCCTCATTATCTATATATACCATCAGTTGCACCGATTCCAGAAGGGTCTGCCAAACCAGTAGTGACAAGGCAACGGCCAAGGTCTCAAGCTCACCTATAATTGTCTGTTGGCCCGCGCTGAGAAAAAGTGCCAATTGTTCTTGGCTCAGAAACATCCCAAACCATGCAACGACCTTCCCTTTTCCGTTCACCAGTACTGCACCCAAACCGGCTTGACCATTCTCCTCAAAGCTGGCATCTGTAAAAAGAAATAAGGTCTCCAACAATTCGCATGTCAAGCGTCTAGGTTTCCCTTCTGCAATCCGAGATCTCAACAGCTTCATGGAGTTCAAAGTGGTGGGAGCCAGCTGTTCTTGAAAGGGGTTATTGTATGCATGCTTCGTAATATCTTGTAGAGCAATCTTCCCAAGTCTCCCAAAAACGAAAGCATCACAGAAAGCCAAACGCCCTCGAAGGGCTAAGGCATCACGTTTCTGTAAAGTGCCCTTTGACATGACCTCATCCAGGAGGGCCAAGGTTTCACGTATCCTTTTCCCGTGTTACAGATATTCAACACGCCCTCACAAGTATCCCCAAGGTGGAATTGTACTCCCAGGGCACTAACCACATCAGAGAAGTCATCACTCTTTGGGCCCTCGCGATCAAAGCTCCATCCCAAAATGTCCAGCATGAGGCACAAAGTAGATTGCGTGTTCCTTGCAAGCTCCGGACAAGTGAAGGAGACAAAGTCATCGAAATAACACGACAAGGGCAGTTTGAAGCAACGCGCCACCACCCACTGCAAAAACCTGGCACATCTTATGAAGGCATTGACCGCCGTCCTCGATCCAAACGGCAATGCAACTTGTTGAAACAATGCAGCCGATTGTTGATGTGGGTCATATACCGACAGAAAAGCATGGCAAGCAGAATCGTCCGATACCGCAAGTTGACGGTAGGCTGACGCCAGGTCCAGAGATCTTCCTACCAACTTGGTAGCCCTGCCATGCCCCGCTAGGCAACGCATAAGAAAAGTGCAAAAGGCACTGATCACATCAGGGCCATCCACTGTAGCCTGTTCGTAACAAGTCACCGTAGAGTTGATTTGACTCTGGGATAAATCATCTATCGGTCTCACCTTTCCAGACTGCTCCAAAGGAAATCTCCTAGAAAGTGTTGCACCACACCCCAGCTCTTCCCAACTCAGTGGGCCACGCATCCAGCCACGCTCCGTCTCAAGCAATGTCTTATCCCAAAGCTTTTGATCAAGTTCACCGTCCCCACATGATCTGGTCATATACCTCAGGGCATCATTGGAACGTTTCGAGTTGTTCTCAAGATCCTGTCTGGACAAGGTGGCAGGCAGTAGCTTTTTGGGCAGCACGTGCGACTGCGGCACTTCACCAACCAAAGAAAAACCACTGGCTAGATCATCCGCTAACGCCCGATCTTCGTAACCTTCGGATTCTATTATATGCCTCATCAATCTCAGCTTTTTGCTCTCTAAAATTCTCCTTTTGCAATCTGGCATGGACGCCTTCAGGGCCTCCTCTTCCAACTGAAAGCTCTTAGACAACCTCAGCCACTCCCCCAACTTCGAGCACCTGTTGTTGATTACATCCACTGGTGACATGCTAGCAACGCACTCACAAGCCCAACGCACTTCGTTCGGTAAACCAGAAAAAGTCGAAAAGGGTGAAGAGACGGTGTTCTCTCCAGTGAAATCTTCGGAAGACGGCCATCACCCCCTTTCTTCTTGGTCTTGCGCAAGAGCTTGCTATGGCATGGAATCAAAAATGACTGTCCACTGCACTGTATTGACACACAACGCTCCAGCGCTGAGTCTTGCATTGAGAAAGTGATCTCATGCGCACATTTGATAGAACAAAATTATGTGAAAAATCCGGCACCACCTGCATGCTAAGTGATTTCGAGGGCTGCTTTGCTGAGGCTAAAGCCTGGAAATGTGACAATTTCAGCTTCTTTGAGAATTGAACAACCTTCTGAAGTTTGTACTCCTTGGCAATGGCCTCCATATGGTAGTTGCCAGAGCTTTGGCCAGGGTAGGCGTATATTCAGCTTCCAGGGAAGTGTCAAAGACGCCGTTCGTCATTGACCATGCCGCGTGCTCGTGAGAGCCGTCACAGAGCACGTTCAAGGCCATGATAGCACTGCAACTACTTGCTATGCACGTCCGCTTCAAACGTGTCCCACCAAACATGCAATTATGCAACTCGCAGTAATAAGGGTCTGTAGCCTCTGCAATATCCAACCAATAGGATGTCTCCCAAAGAAGGCTCGTGAGAGGGTTCTCCACTGTCCAAACTATGCCCATTTGATGCATCTTCTTGATGAGCTTCCTCATAAAACTGTAAAGTCTATTTGCTGCACGTAGTTTAACTAAATGCAGACCTGAAACACCTGGGATCCCGTCAGGAAATCTAGAATTCCTCAATGGTGGCGGCCCATGCACTTTCTTGTTCAAGCGCCTGAGCCGCGCTCGTGAAGCTGTGCCACATGGCACACCAAAGTGTGCCCACAAGCATTTGCCTGAAAGGATCCAATCTTCCACCATTTTCTGGTGATCAGCCTTTGTTAGGTCGAGGCAGACCACTTTGATGCGTTGTTTGCTCACTTTGTGATCCACACCAAAGCTGTCTGGAAGAAAGTGTTTCATTGCATAGGTCAGGTTGCCTGTACCACAAAATAATTCGACACAGAAGAAGCCGCTCTCCCCAAACTGTGGTCTCACAACATCATCTGTTTTGATTTGTTCACTGTCCAAAGCTGGAGATTTACGCTTGACTCCCTGTGATGAAACTGCAGCTTTGCCCATTGGCTGTCACTGATGTTCCGTCTGTGGATGGGCCTTGTAACAATTGGGCACTGCACAGACATGCTTACGCGGGCATGATGTGCCCTGCTTGCACGTCCCAAGGTTATAGCTGAAACAAATCTGCTCTCCTTGAGGTGTACGCGAATGCATGCCTCTCAGCGCTGTCGGGATTGGGTCCCGTTTCTTTCCTTTATTGGATCCCTTCGAAGCCCCTTTTTGGAACTTTTTAGGCGGCTGTCCTCCCTTTGCATTGGGAGCCGCGGTACGCTTGGTGTCCTTGTCCACCTTGTCCAACTTGTCTGTTGAACCTGCACTGTGACTTGTTGGCACTGGCAGCATGAAGTATGTCACGGTCATGTCACTCTCGAGCTTCTCCACATAGGGATCCAGAGGCTTCCCTGCAACCACCGCTGCTTTGAGCGAGCCCGTAAAAAGCTCACTCAGCCTAATAAAGGCTTGCCGGTCTGCCCGCAAAAGTTGGGCTTGTGAAACCTTTTGGAAGCCCGGTGCTGGTGGCTGAGAGTATAGCGCAAACAACCTGTCAATCCATTTTCGCATCACCTCATAGGTCACCAATCCAGTGAGGTCCAAAGCCAGGGATCTTCGCTGCATAGCCTGGTACAGTGATAGGTCAGACGTAATGCTGATCTCAGTTGTATTGTTCTGTTCTTTGATGACCAGGGCCGTCTTTGTCGAATCCAACTGGATTTCTTTTTCAGGCTTCGTCCCCGTAAGTTCTTGCTGCCTCGAAAGGCACTTCGAAGGACTGATGTATGAGACCTCGTTCTTCTCGATCATGCTTGCACACAAATCATAAAGTGCATGGGACGGTTCCAGGGGACCTTGTATGTCCAAGCCGCGTAATTCATGCTTCTGTCTTTCAAGTCTGGCCTGCCTTTCAGGTGCCGACAGCTTTTTAGGCAAAGCTTCTTCTCCTTTGGCTGTTGCTTTGAAACTGTGCATCATCAATGTCTGGCTCTCGAAAAGGATCCTTTTGAAAGCTGAGCGATCAGCAATTGTTGGTGCCACACCCGGACGTAAATCTCCTAGGAACCTAGTGATCTGATCGTCCGTGGCCACTACTCCCGGGCTTGTTACAGCAAAAACTCAACTTGGCGAAAGTTGCCAGCGCCCCATTTTTGAGCGCTTCCACCCAAGCATCCGATAATCCTGCATCTTCTGCCTGCTGTGAGAAAGTCGCTTCAGAATCCAGGAATGAAGCTGAAGCCATGATACCACCGCCCGAACTGAAGTGACAATCCGCCTGCTATTGGGATTAAATCACAGCTTTGCGTTGTCTGATTGCCATGTAACATTTTTCAACTTGGTTGCAATTTAACATCAAAAGGTCTTTGCCAAAATTAAGTACATGAAGTCTCCAGGTCGTTACCTGAGATCAACTCATCCTATGATTCAATGCCAGCTGCATAAACTGAAAAGCATTGAAGCTGATCGACTCAAACGTCGACGTGCCCCTATGAGCAACGTATCGCATGACTGCATTCAATCATGCTTGCTGCTCTCAGCCCTGTACTGCATTCAGTGCTTTTTGGAGTTGCCTTCAAACCCCCAGAAAATGATATAATCCCCAGCAACTCCCAAGTTGTCACAACACATGTCGCATTCAACATGTCTCCAAGAACCTTTGCTCAAGCATGCATATCGTGGTTCACGGACATGCTTAAAAATGAATCTGGATTCAAGATGAGAAGCAACGCATTCGTTATCACAGCCTTCTGGTCATTCAGGTTGCCCTCAACACAAATGAAATTTGAAATTACTGTCCATGGACTTCAGTCTGCACATGCTTTCACCAATCAGACCCTTTTTGTCCGCGCTCAAGGTCACTTTGCCCTCTGGCGCTTCAACCTGCTTTGGTCAAGTGCCTCTACAAGGCCTTCGACACTGGACACCACTTCGCCCTTGAAACATCTGCTGCAACGAGCATTGATGGTTGAGCAGCCTTCCTCCATATATTCAAAATGAGCATCATCTATCAGTCGACCACACATTGTCTGCTTCTTGAAGGAGGAACAGCGGTGTACTACATGACTTCGAATGTTGCGCCAAACTGGACCAGGGATCCAACACGCTGGCTGCGCAACCTCATCTTCGTCAGAACTTCCAGAGCTAGAGCTAGTGGATGCTATGTCACTTGACTCTTCCTGCTCCTGCACTTGGCATGAGGCCGGTGCTGCCTCTGTGCCTAAGGGTGAGGTTGGTTCAAGCTCCTCCTCCAATCTGCCTGCATCAAGGGTCACCTTGCTGTCGGCCGCCACCACGTTCGGCCTCTCTGCTGTCGCCTGCCCCGCTGTAGACAAGCGCAACAAGTCCACCATGCGGGATGTCCTGGATTCATCTGGCCGGAAATGGTCCAACCTGATATTTGCCAGCATGCTGCAAAACAACTGCAGGGGCCTCGTCAACAAGTCCCTTGAATACACCGTCATAGCTTTTGCACCCTGTAATTCATGATGCCCCAGCAACGTACGTGCTGGCTCGTCCATACCATAAGCTGCACACCAAGACAAAGTTGTATGTTTCAGCGAATGCGATGTGACACATGTCTCTGGATTGGTCTTCAGCACCTTGTTCAAGAAGGTGCCAATCTCCTCTGTTGAACATGAACGACGGCAGAGGCCTCCGTCATGTGATGGGGCTTTGCACAAAGCCCCAAAAGGTTCAGCCTCCATGTTGACTCCGAGTGAATTCATTGCCTGAACCCAATACTTCGACCAGTCAATGTTGGTCACACCCAAAACCGGTGCTACCAGTGGCATATACCTCTGTTTCTTTGCCAGCGTCGTTGCAGTCTTGTGATATCTCGTACGTGCCTCCACAAAGCCGTAAAGTTCTCCATTGAAATCCACCTTTTCTATCCAGATCTGATGAATCATCTTTAGATCCGACCATCTGGATCTTGAAAGCACTGCAAAAAGAATCGAACCAAGCATGTAAACATCTATGGGATTGGAATGAGATGCAATCAACTTCTCCAATGCGGCTACTTCCACAACTTTTAGGGGCCTGGCTGGTTTGTACGTCTCCTTCTCCGCCAAGAGACGCTGTGCGCGTCCCCGCAGCTGTGGATCACTCAATAACTGTTCGGGAATCGGAATCTCAAGCACAAACCTCGCAAATCTAAAAGACTCCAACAAAGTCATGCCCCTTGAAGCTGAAGATCTGGCATGTTCTGTTGAACTCAAATATTGTAAGCAATGTCTCCTGTCCCAGGGTGACCATTCTGGCACATGCATCTGCAGCCATGAAAAATACTGTAGCAACGTCTGAGCCCTTTTTATGGCAGTTCGAGGTGACTTGATCCCCAATGAGTCTCTCAGCACCGCACTGCGCTCGTCTGGATCTGTCGCCAACTGCTCCTGCAACAGTGCCTTCCCTACAGTACCAGGGTAGTTGAGGATTTCAAACACCTGCTGCCACTTGTACAAGGCATGCAACCACAGCTTGCGGTCTTCTTCCAACGCATCTCTGTCGGGAAGCACCCTAACTGCAAATGAATAAAAAGGCAGTGTCGTGTCAGTGGCAATCAATTCCCTGGGGTGCATGCTCTGCTCCATCAACTCCACATCATCATGGCCTGCCGCTTGTGACTGTGACGGGAATAAATATTCTCCTGGCACAGGTGGCACTACGGTTGGAAAAACGTCATCATCATCATCTGCAAAAATGCGTTTCCAGACTCCCTGCTCCCAGGGCAATTTCATCTCCGCATCTCCCATTGAGCTCATGCGTGCTTCAAACAATAACCTGTTATATTCAGACTTCCAAAGTGGTACATCAGGTCTTGTCTGTTTATCTGAGGTTTCTGCAGGCTCTGGCCAAACTTGTCCAGGTTCCAAAAATGGAATAGGAGCTGCAACTGATACCCCATCGCCTCCAAAAATTTGTAAATCTGAAGCCGAGGGTGCCGACAGTAGTTGTTGTTGCAAACATGTCTCAGTATCATCAGCAGGATCACCAGACTGTTGCAAATGACATCCTGATGAGGTCCCGACCAATTCTGCAAAGCTATCAGACATATCACTATTGAATGCCTCTGAACTGACGGATCCTGGAAAAAATGTCCTCACTATCCAGATGAACCGCGTAGCAACAACTGCAGAAAGTTTGAAGATCGGAAACCAGCAAAAAACTCAAAACCCTGACCTCTGCAAACTCAGTATAATCCCAAATGCTCCAGGAAATCAAAAACAGTCTGTTTTCACTCAGATAGTCGTACCTATCCGGATCCCACTCCAACGCAATCATTCTGCACCCATGGCGCTCAAAAAGCACAATCCACAAAAGAAGTGGAACCCACCCGCCCTCCCTTTGGAGGCGACACCTTGAACGGGTAATGGCAACCATTGACAAAGACTTAAGAACTGTTACACTTCTGTTGTGTGTGTCATCCTGCGCAGAACAGTGCCAGAGAAAAGAAGAATTCAGTTGCATTCAACAAGAAACAAAAATTTGGGTTTGTGCAAGTTGACTGTTCACAAAGGTTAATTAAACAAGGTTCACAAACCAAAAAGCACCAGGTCCAAGAAGGTGCCACAAATAAAACCCAAAGCGAACACGACCACAAACCCAAATGCACTGAACGCAGGAGAACGGGAGACGCGAGTGTAAGAGGGAAGAAGAGGGCGGCTAGAAGTTGCATTCAACTTCTTTTTTACTAGAAGGGAAATAAAGTTTCATCAGCTCGCTGAGTCGCAACATTCTTCCACAAGAGTCCAATCTTCTCACCAAAAAGACAGACTGGGGAGGCCCCTTCCAATGGCTCCAGTTCTGTGACACATTTCAACTCCCATTTTTGGAGCTGTTGCTTGGCCATTTTCGAATCCAAAAACAAAAACATTAACACTTGAACATCTGTCATGGATGACATTCCAGCCGCTTTGCTGGCCGATGCTCACGTTGCTCCCTTCCCCTCATCGTGCCATGTTGTGGTACGCCGCAGAATGCGGACAACGACTATTTGAGTCTAGCAAAGTTCATGCGCCTGGGTCCTTTAAAGTCTGACAGCTACTGTGACAGCGATGACAAAACACAGCCTGTACAATCTTCTCGTCAAACAAAGAAGCGGATCTCAAAGCGTAGACAGGCTTGCTGAAGCCCCGGCAAAGCTTTGCACATGATTCAAAACATTGCAATCATCCGAACCCTCTCCTCTCCCGGCCCAATAACCAAAGCGAATCCAACCGAAACAACAATCACAAGGCGCAATGCAAATCGTAGCCCAAGACAAACAAGCGGCTGATATGGGCTTAGAATACGCTAAAAACGCTTCATTGTCACCAAAGCAAGGTACTTGTCCAACATTGCCGCATGGGGGGGCAGGGGGCATTCTACGCCTCTACGCTTTCCTAACACTATTGCTGCCCCTCCAACCCAACTCACAGCAAACAGAAAGTGAAATACGCGCAGCGCTGTAGAATGCAGTGAAACGCGCACGGCGCTGTGAAACGCAGTGAAACGCACAGTGAAACACAGCACGAAACGCGGTAATTTACGACGTTTCGTGCTTGCGGGAAGAAAAAAGCTAGGACTTTTTTGAATGCAGCAGCCCTTGCTTCTACTTAAAACGCAAAACCATTGTAAATTACAACGTTTCGCGCTGTGTTTCACTGTGTGTTTCACTGTGCGTTTCACTGCGTTACACAGCGCCGTGCGCGTTTCACTGTGTGTTTCACTGCGTTTCACAGCGCCGCGCGTATTTCACTGCAGCCCAGAGTCTGCCGTGGCAAGTTTCCAATCAGCAACGCTATAAAATCTTCTTCTGGTCCTGTAAATCTTCAACGCGTCTGCGAGAACCACCCGAGCTTGGAAAGAAAAGCTTGCAAACGATTGACTACAAGTCTTCTAGCCCAACACTACGAGACACTGCTACGAGATGGTCTAAGATGCAGATGCCTGATAATCACGAGTAACAGGAACTCCGTTTTTAGCAGTCGGGCAAGCTGCCAAAACCAGGCCCACCAGCTGGGGCCTCCCCAGTGCAGGAACGCCGCAGCAGAATGCTATTTATGTGTCCTGAATTGCACTAAGCGAGACACACTTTGCCAACAGAGGGTTCAACCCAGAATTCAAAAACTTGCGCTTGCAAATTATCAAATTCCGCTTTCGAATGCCAAGCAATACCTTCAAAAAAACACACAATGCGGCCTCTGTTTTGGGAGTCGTTTCTTGACCCCAAAATGGGGGCAATCGCCACGCCTCATTTACTTTTGCAATAACAACGGCGCCGACTCCCATTTTGGGAGTCGCTTTCCGGCTCCCAAAATGGGAGCTAATTTTGAATCGTTTTTTTCGTATTTCAACCTGCTTGGATCTCGGCGAGGATTGCCACTGCCTTGTTTTCACACAAAGTGCGTTCCCATTCTTCCAGAGCTCTTTGCGCTAGTGTCCGTTTGCGGTGGGGCTTTCAGGGCAGCCGGTGTCCCTAGTGTTCGTATGAAGGGGCTATCAGGGGGAACGGGGGATGGGAGATGCTGAATGGCCGCTACTGCACGTTGCACGTCATTTATTTGTACATCATATGACGTGGTCGTTTTTTTGCTTATGGCAGGTTCGGAGTCGGCCCATAGTTGCTCCAGTGTGTATCCTGGTCTCGGTTCCATATACTTTCGGTTCCATACTGCATGGTGGGACCATTACACTTCGAAGGGGAGCACTCCAGGGGTACCTTCTAACTGCTCCATATCTGGTCGTCCTTCTGGGAGGGCAACTCTTGTCCAATGCGAGTAGTTATGTTGTGCAGTACCGAGGTACGCTCTCCATCCTGTGATATGCGTAATTTTAAAGCCCCGTTGCCTATAGACGTTGAAACGAAAACTTCTGGACCCACACTCAAAATAAAACCGAGCCATTCATCCTTTCAAAGCTTCAGAACATGCAACCAAACTTATTTCCCTAAAGGTAAAAACCGCCGACCCCTCAAAAATAAACGTTGCTCGTCTCTCTCGTTTCAAAGTTCCTCATAAACTTTGTTCTTCTTCAAATTCTAAAAGACCCTGAGGCAAAAACACCTCTGAAGGTTAGAAATGATTCAATTCGCCAAACAAGAGAACACAGCTTCGCAATGCGAGAAGACGCACCCTCCCTTTTTCCTACACAGATGGGAACATCGCAACTCCGCTTTCGGGGCTATAAACACATTGCGAATATGCACTCATAACGCATAGTGCGTGAAACAAATAGAACAATTTTACGCATTCGTAAATTTCCGCATTCGGAAGTAATGTAGGGGGGGTGGGGGGCTCAAAAAGCACAATCCACAAAAGAAGTGGAACCCACCCGCCCTCCCTTTGGAGGCGACACCTTGAACGGGTAATGGCAACCATTGACAAAGACTTAAGAACTGTTACACTTCTGTTGTGTGTGTCATCCTGCGCAGAACAGTGCCAGAGAAAAGAAGAATTCAGTTGCATTCAACAAGAAACAAAAATTTGGGTTTGTGCAAGTTGACTGTTCACAAAGGTTAATTAAACAAGGTTCACAAACCAAAAAGCACCAGGTCCAAGAAGGTGCCACAAATAAAACCCAAAGCAAACACGACCACAAACCCAAATGCACTGAACGCAGGAGAACGGGAGACGCGAGTGTAAGAGGGAAGAAGAGGGCGGCTAGAAGTTGCATTCAACTTCTTTTTTACTAGAAGGGAAATAAAGTTTCATCAGCTCGCTGAGTCGCAACTTATTTCCCTAAAGGTAAAAACCGCCGACCCCTCAAAAATAAACGTTGCTCGTCTCTCTCGTTTCAAAGTTCCTCATAAACTTTGTTCTTCTTCAAATTCTAAAAGACCCTGAGGCAAAAACACCTCTGAAGGTTAGAAATGATTCAATTCGCCAAACAAGAGAACACAGCTTCGCAATGCGAGAAGACGCACCCTCCCTTTTTCCTACACAGATGGGAACATCGCAACTCCGCTTTCGCCACGGTCCCCACCCATGTCTCAAGGTGGCGTAAGGGCCACTTTCAGGAAGGTTAAGCTTTCTTCGAAGGACCTTCCTATCTCTTCCTTAGAGACCATGGTGTCTTTCACCAAGAGAGGATGCTCAAGCAGTCTCGAGGGGTAATCTGCTATGTTAGAAATTGAAGGCACCCGAGCGAACCATGGCAGCACAAAATGTGCATCAAGTGTCGTCGCAGCCAGGGCGCACACCGCTGTTATCGCTCTGGAGGTGGAGTAACCCTTGATCAGGGAAAATTTCGAACCCTCATTATCTATATATACCATCAGTTGCACCGATTCCAGAAGGGTCTGCCAAACCAGTAGTGACAAGGCAACGGCCAAGGTCTCAAGCTCACCTATAATTGTCTGTTGGCCCGCGCTGAGAAAAAGTGCCAATTGTTCTTGGCTCAGAAACATCCCAAACCATGCAACGACCTTCCCTTTTCCGTTCACCAGTACTGCACCCAAACCGGCTTGACCATTCTCCTCAAAGCTGGCATCTGTAAAAAGAAATAAGGTCTCCAACAATTCGCATGTCAAGCGTCTAGGTTTCCCTTCTGCAATCCGAGATCTCAACAGCTTCATGGAGTTCAAAGTGGTGGGAGCCAGCTGTTCTTGAAAGGGGTTATTGTATGCATGCTTCGTAATATCTTGTAGAGCAATCTTCCCAAGTCTCCCAAAAACGAAAGCATCACAGAAAGCCAAACGCCCTCGAAGGGCTAAGGCATCACGTTTCTGTAAAGTGCCCTTTGACATGACCTCATCCAGGAGGGCCAAGGTTTCACGTATCCT